GAATTGCTTGCTAGAAAAAAAATAATATTACAGTATGCTGAAAGCTAAAAATTATAATATAAAGTTAATGATTTACATTTATTTTACATTTGATTCTTGCCAGATTCTTAATACTTTACTAGGTACTTTATTTTATAGAACTGAAACTTTTTTTTTCTATAGCTGTTGTTTAAATGCATTTTTTTACATATAGTAAATGAATAATATCTTACAAAATTAAAAATTAATGGGACCAATTACTACTTATATTAACGAGCCATAAATTTGGTATCTGTTAAGTCAACAGTAATGATTTATAATAGGATTTCATTATTTTTTCATTTAGTACAATACTTTCCCAGGTCTCACCAGCCTGGGATACAACTACAACAGTGTTAACAGGAGTATCCCAAATTTCACTGCCTCTAGCTCCTGTCTTCATAACACAGGAGGTCAGTTTCCCCTCCAGTTCTACCCATTTGTGTCTGGGAATCCCAAAGCTATCCCATGTGAATTCAGGAATTCCTCCTAGTGTCTGTCTGGAACCAGTGAGGCCACCTGAAAGGGAACCCTAGAACTGCCACCCTGGTCTTCCTAAGAGCCCCAATGTCTGCCTGAGCTGATGCTCCAGGCTGTACACCTGCAAATCCTTAAGTGCCAAATACTCTTCCTTTCCCTTGGCCTGCCGGCTTTACTCAGATCACGCTGGTTGGTCACACTTTTCACAAGATGCCATATTTTTCTGAAGACTGCTAATAACTCAAACTCATACTTCAAGACTAAAGCCACATTTGTTTACCTGCTGAAATAGTACCACTTTGTGGCAAGAACTTAAACTTTTGTTTTCCCACCAACTTCGAAAGGAAATACCCCTCAGTAAAATTTTAATTTGAAGGATTGTATTATTTCAAAATTTGGCATAATGTAAGACTCTTGTAATATTTTTTGTATCACATTAGTTTAAGTTTGCAAAATTTAAAGTCACATGAAATTTGATGGCTTTGTGCTATGTGTGCTGTACAGTAGTGGGGAACATGCCTTTCCTTCACTTTGTATTGCACAAATAGTGCTGTGTGCCTCATAGGAGCAGTTCTTTTGGATTCTGCCTGCAGTTCTTTCTTCCCTAAGAGTCAGACCCCCAATTCAGGTGGCAGAGACAGATGCCATGTGACTCCCCACCCCTATCCCCATTCTTGTTTTTCTTTCAGAGGATAGGAAAAGAAAAAAGAAACAAAAACAAAAAACAAAAAAAAAAAGCCTTTCTTAGTCTCCTGTCTGTCAAAACAAAAATATTTAAATTGACTTTTAGAACTCTGTGTGTGTGTGTGTGTGTGTGTGTGCGTGCTTGTGTGTGTATTGGGGGCGGAGGGAGAGAGAGAGACAGAGACAGAGAGAGACAGCAGAGAGAGAGAGAGGGTCTCACTCTGTTGCCCAGGCTGGAGTGCAGTGGCACAATCATAGCTTGCTCACTACAGCCTCTATCTGAGCTCCAGTGATTCTCCAACCTCAGCCTCCCAAGTTGCTGGTACTATGGGTGTGTGCTACCGTACCCAGCTGATTTTTTATTTTTAGTAGAGACAAGGTCTCACTATGTTGTCCAGGCTACTCTTTAAGTCCTGAGCTTGAGGGATCCTCCCACCTCAGGCATCCAAAGTTTTAGGATTGCAAGTGTGAGCCACCATGCCTGGCTGACTTTTAGAATGTAATATTAGACAGACCCAGGTAACAGAATCCATTAGATTTAGGCCAGTGTTAACCCACCTCCACAACTCATTAAATGTTGAAAATATAGAAAAGGAGAAGGAAAAACTAAAACTTTTTTTCTGTAGCTATTGAAATCCTCACATAGAGTTTGCAGTGCAAATATATGGTCCTTGTCTGGATTCTAGTTTGAACAAACCGTGTAAGACATTTGGAGGCCAATTCCAGAGAGTTGGCTATGGCATGGGTACAATGATATTAAGCAATTACTGTTAAGTGTCTAAGGCAGGATAATGGAATTGTGGTTGCAAAGAAAATGTACTCATTTTTTAAGAGATGGACATTATAAGATTTGGGGGATGAAATGTCATTCTTAATTTATATACTTTAAAATAGAAAAAGCAAGTATGGCAGAATGTTGACAATGTTAAACATGACTATGGGTATTAGGTGTTTATTTTATTTCTCTGTAAGTTTGAAATTTTAAATCTTTTTTTCTCCAACCCTGGCAGAGGAATGAAATTTTTTTATAAGCTATTTTTGCAGGACTGGGTTGTAATCATGCTACATATAATATCTTTTCAAAAAGAAATCAGTTTTATATTTCACTTATTTTTCTCTCCTAATCTATACAAATATGTTTCCTTGAAACTAGTGTGTGTGCTATTGTATGCTGCTGGAACTCAGCTTAAAAATTGGGCCTTAACACTCTTCTGTCCCTAGTGTACATGAGGAATAAGACATACTCTCGGTCATAATAGTGACTAATCACCGCAGTAATTCCTTAGAGCAGGTAAGAGTGGAGGGCTAAGAAATCTTGGGAAGTGAACCTGGGTAGTTTACAAGAAGTTTCACAGGTAATTCCAGCTGGCTTCCTGTCGGCCACTGGCCTAAAAAAGGAGTGTCAAACCCTAACTAAATATTATGAAAAATCTTTCACAACTAATTCATTATTTATTTACACATTCCCACTCTTTAACTTTAAAAATCATATCTTATGGTAGAATTTTTTTCTTTTATTTCCAGACTAGAAATTAACCTTACAGTGTACCTGGACTCTCAGAAATCATATTGTGGTGCACTGTCCATTCCTCCCTCACTTTATTTATAACTACAGGTGTCTGGGGACAGCAGCACTTGTGGTGTGAGTGTTATGTGAGGGCACTCTGAGGCCATCTGTAGCCAACACTAACTTGCTGTTTATCCACTGACTTCCCCACAAAGTTGTTACCAGAATCCTTTGCCCTCCATCTGTGGTAGTCAGATGGCAGAGAATTGGCTTGCATCTAAGCAGTTTTCTAATTCTGTTGATCGATCAATACATACATATTTGTTGAACTCCTACTCTGTGCAAAACACTGCTAGCTGGAATTAAAAGGTGAGAGGAAAAGTATTTTCCAATCAGAAGCAGTTGAACAGTATGCAACGACTATGAAGGGTGGGAAGCCATTGGCTGGAGTGTGGGTGGTGGAAACGTGAATGGAGGAAGTGAAGCCATGTGACTAAGTGGTCCAGGCATGTGCCCAATGGTTGGATTGGCCAGAGATTCCTTGGAGCTGCAGTGAAGTCAACACATGCCCACCCCCAAGTGGGGAATCAGGCATTACTGGGCTGGAGTCCTCTTGCATATTAGTCCCTTGGAGATGCTCTCTTAAAGTTGCTTTTCCCTTTGAAGAAAACAAGAGTATACCAATAGTAATAATAAGGAAAAAATCATGATTTTAATTGTTTCTCTTCTTCCTTCTTTTCCCTTCCCTCCCTTTCTCCCTCCCTCCCTCCCTCCCTCCCTCCCTTCCTTCCTTCCAAACTGGGAGAACAATAAATGTAAAGTTAAAGTAAAAATTTATGAAGAGAAACTCTTAAAAAATGAATATTAGAATAGCAAAAATTCTCGTATATTATAAATCGTGAATTAATGAGGATTTAAACTACTTCTTTCAATAATAGAATAGAAAATACCTCTATGCTCTTTTAAAAAATTGATCATCAGAAAAGAAAACTTGAGTTCAAATGGTGCTTGCTGAATTTTAATAATTCTTTTCAAAGTCATTATTACTATAATGTTTTGAACTACATTCATTTGATCGTATAATATACTCATATTTTATGACATATCATTTACTGTAGTTATTTATTTAGGACTTTTCAGGTAATATCGTCTAAAAAGAATCAGGCTCATGAAATTTAGGGACCTACAATAGTACTGAAAAAGTGTAATGTTAATGAAATTTGTTTGCCTCTGCCACCTCATCCCCTTCTTGGTTTTTATCCTGTCTGCTATAATATCCTCAATACTCCTCCTTTACTTATCTGGATTCCTTTCTTCTATAAAAATCTGAATTTAGTGAAGAATGACTTGAATCATTTATGTTTTCCCTCACTGTAGGCATAATTTGCATTTAATCTCCATCAAAAGTGAGGATTTTCACATGTCAGGGGTCCTGTGGGCCTTTCTTGTACATATATATGCCATATCTGTTAATTTAACAAAGTATTTACAGCAATGTGCAAAGGAGAAAACATTTGCCTTAGAAAAGTGGAATTCAGAATTCCTGGCTTTTGGTATAGATTTGGACTAAACTTACCTATACACCAAATAGTTGTGACTCATATGTTTGTATTTCTATATAGTAAGCAAAGTGGCAATAAAATAAGAGGAAAACTTAACATCATTAACACCTAACAGTAGCCATGTGCATATAATAAATATGTTAATATAATAATATCTTTACTTATTAAAGAATACACAGAAGGTGTAGATGATTTCAGTTAGCTCTTGCCACATGTTGTTGTGAATAGTTTGTAAGTGATAAATTTGCATCTCTATAAGCATAGTCCACACTTCAGACTTTAAATTTATGTGGTTTTCCTATTCCTGTTTGGTAAATGAGGAATTCCTCTATGTTGAAAAGAGAATCTCAGTTTGTATCCTTGAGAAAATCATTCTGTTTGATTCAGAATGATTCAGAAAATCATTCTGTTTTAATAGTGAACAGCAGAACTGCAATTCTATACTATTGTAAATATAGATTATCATAACAATGCCATGTTGCTTAACTCAAAATGTTTCAAACTAAGTAAGATATAATGGGAAAATATATTAAGCTGTGGTTTTAACTGAAAAAAATAGCTTATAGACATACACAAAATTCCAAAACATAAATGGTATATAATTCTTTCAGCCCATTCCTGTCTCCAGCTGCCCCATTCCCTTCTGTCTTGGCATCCATTGCTCTCTTTTTCTTGAGTATCTTGCCGAGGTAGTCCGTGCATTCCATTTATTTCTAATATTGGGTATTTCAATTATTTATTTACTTTAGATGACTCCAGAATTGATGATAAAAGCCTGTAGCTTTTATACTGGACATTTAGTAAAGACTCATTTTTGGTAAGAATGTGATTTTTATAAACAATTTCTTCCTCTTTGTGTTTTTATTCTTGATATCCTCCGTACAAAGAAAAATTCACTTTGGGCCAGTTGTGCTGATTTTATCTATTTAATCATGTTTCTACCATTTTGTATTATATATTTCTGTTATATTTAATCAGCTTTTACTTAGTTAAAATATGTATTTTACTTCTTTAAGATATAACTATCTTTTCTTAAAAAATAAAACTTTAAAATTAAAAATACAGTTTCACAGTCAACTTGTCTGAAACCGTTGGAGCCAAATATGTTTTGGAATTTAGACTCCTTTTAAAAAAAAGACATCATTAGGTGGTTCTTTTGGTAAATTGAAATTATGACAACATGATTTCATCCCATGATTTCTTTATTTTATCCAAAAAGATATATGGCTCATATAATCTCCATTTTTCTCTATTACTATTAGGAATTCTTCAGGTCATACCCAAGTTGTAGAAGTTTCTTTCTATGCTGTGGCTTTTGAGATCATAAAGGAGATGTCGTTCTTTGTTCCCCTTAATTGATTGACTGATATATTGCCCTAATATCAGAATATTATTTTTAAGAGAATGTCTTCTGCCTGCAGCACTTGGAGAGACATAGCTCGTACAAATGAAAACGTCGCCCTGGCTGAAAAAATGAACAGAGCAGTGACATGTTACAATTTCAGACTTCAGAAATCTGTATTTCATCACTGGCACTCTTATATGGAAGACCAGAAAGAAAAACTTAAAAGTAAATTCTTTCTTAGTAGCAATTACTTTTTGTATCAATTTATTGAAATAATAAAAAAAACTAACAGTTAAGCATACTTTGTATACTTAGAGAACCTGTCTTTTTTATGTCTAAACAATTGTCATGAAATGAAGGTAGAGCTGCTAATTTAAAAATACTTAATGAAATTTGTCTCAAAGGATTTTATTTTAATAGAAAACAGACATATTTAAAATCACATCTTGTGTGCATTTGTGTGTATGTATACATGAATATAAATAGAATCTACTATGAGGTTTTTTATGTAATAGAGAGCTGGGTGGGTTCCAAATAATATGGACAGGTACCAAAACTGACTATTTTTGTAAAGAGGTTTATGCTTTTTACAAATATTACATTTAATGTATATATGATGAAACTTAAAAATAAAAATTATTTTCTCTTAAGACCTTGGGGGTTATACTGAGTGAGTGGGAGGTACATTAATGTGATCCATGCCCACTCAGTATAACCTCCAAGAGCTCTTGTCTTCCGGTTAGATTTTTTTGCAGCTCTCCTGATAATAACTTGTTTATGGCTGTTGCAAACCAGAGAATCATTTCTTTTTGACTGGCTGTGGTTGGTATCTCAGTTAGAGTGGACCCTCTGAAGATTTTAATATTAGTGTAATGAAGGGTTAGGAATGGTTAATCATAGGACATAAAATTAAATTCAAAGGCATTGGATCTAAATGCTACCTTATGACTGTATTTCTTATGAAAAAGCTTAGAAGTTCTGGTTTTACAAATAACAACCTTGTTTAAAAAAAAAGAAATGATACATGTCTTGAGATTTCTATTGCAGCTATTACATCTTAATTTCTGAGGGCACAGATGATGTTTCCAGGTTGATAAAGTCTCAAGAGTACTAATGCTATCAAAAGTAATTAATTTCAAGTGTAAATAAAACCAAACAAAAATGATCAGATGTGACATTGGCTCATATTATAAACATGATAGAATATTAAATAACTTTGTGTTTTTTGGAAACAGCTGTAACTATTAATATATACAGTAATCTAGTAAATTTCCTTCAGATACGCTATTGCGGATACAACAGATCATCTATTGTCACAAGCTGTCCATTATCCTAACAAAATGGCGGAATAGAGCAAGACTTAAGAGTAAAAAGAAAGAAGATGAGCTGGTATTGTATATTGAAACAATTTTTTAAGAATCTGGATTTTTCAGTTATATTCATGTTGCCTCAAATAATAATGCTGTGTGTGGAAAATACTAAAATCCTGAATATTATCTACTTTTGAAGGGATTCTTGTTTTTTTTTTTTTATTTTTATTTTTTTGAGACAGAGTTTTGCTCTTGTTGTCCAGGCTGGAGTGCAATGGCGTGATCTCGACTCACTGCAACCTCTGCCTCCCAGGTTCAAGCGATTCTCCTGTCTCAGCCTCCCAGGTAGCTGGGGTTACAGGCGCCTGCCACCACACCCAGCTAATTTTTTTGTGTTTTTAGTAGAGATGGGGTTTCACCATGTTGGCCAGGCTGGTCTTGAACTCCTGACCTCAGGTGATCTGCCCACCTCGGCCTCCCAAAGTGCTGGGATTACAGGCGTGAGCCACTGCGTCTGGCTGGGATTCTTGTTCTTTAACTTAATAATTTAAAATTTACTTCAGCTATTAGTATATCATTTCTTAATATTGGTTTAGTATGTTCAAAGTAACACTATGATCAGACATAGAAACATGCTGGATTTTTTTTCTGTAGTTACATTATTTAGTAGGAGATACTTTATTAATATTCTTTGAAATACAAAGTAAGGGTAAATAGGAAAGAGAATGTGGGGTGAAGTTAAATCCCCTTCTTTTGTGGTTGCCCCATGGATCAATGCCCCCACTCGCCTGAATTTGGTTCAGATGTTGAGACCAACAATAGCACACACGCAGCAAAAGAGTATGAGGAGATTTATTACTTATGTATGCTTAAAACAGTGCTAGAGCCTGTGCTGAGCTTTAAGCATCTCAGGTTACTTGAGATGCTCTCTAGAAGTTTATAATGTGTAGGTTTTGAGCTGATGGTCTTGTATGCTGTCCTGTAGGCTTTGCCTTTTGCATACTACCTTTTCAGTGTTACCAGTGAAACAGCTCTACTTTGGGTACCTAACACTGTATTAGTCTGCTCATTCAGTGCTTTCCACCACTCTGTATTATTAAGCTAGTGTTTTGGTCACTGCCCTCTATGCCTGATCACTGATTGTCTAATAGTGAAATAGGTAACAGTACATGACCAGTCCGCCCCTGTTCACCCGCTTTAGCTAAACATCCCTGAACATAAAAATTAGCCAGGCATGGTGGCAGGCCCGTGTAATCCCAGCTACTTGGGAGGCTGAGTCAGGAGAATCTCTTGAACCCTGGAGGTGGAGGTTGCAGTGAGCCGAGATCACGCCACTGCACTCCAGCCTGGGCAACAAAAGCGAAACTCCTTCTCAAAAAACGAATAAACCAAAAATCCCTGAGAGCAGGCAGTGTTGTTCTCTTAGTAGTCTCTGTATGCTGAGCATGATGTTTTGCACACAGTTGATATATATTAATATATATAATGTATATTATATATACTATAATATTGTTAAGATATATGTGTATTATATAGTTAATTGTGTGTTTAGAGAACATTTTTTCTAGATACATGATTTACTGACCTAACAATCATTCTACATTCCCTTAAATGGAGTGAGGCTGGCAGGGATATGCTGGGAGCAGAGGCAGGGAACACCTGTGTGTCAAGCGCTCCACGTGTGTTCTTCCTCAGGCTCTAATATGTGTGTGTATATACACACATACACATACATACACACATATATATTACATCAATATATATTACCCCAATATTGTGTGTATATGTTTATGACTGAAATACTTACTACCTTTGTTTATTACACAGTTTTCAGAAGTGTATCAAGAGTTAAAATGGGGACTTCCTGTGATGATAAATTTGGCAATTTCCCAAATACGTTACTTCTGACTTCCCTTTTTTGTTATCCGTATGTTAATCACCTTCACTCCATGCACCAATTACCAGTTTTATCATTGCCAGAGCCTTGACTTTGTGGTCCTCACTTCCTCATCTGTGAAAGAGGAGACTAGATCAGCCTTTCAAGGTGGCTGCCTGTGCCAGTGTTTTATGACAACTAATGGAAATGATCTGTAATACTTTGGTGGTTCAGAGAACGTTAAACATGCTTATGAAAAATTATAGTTATGTAGTAATGATGACAATCATAAATAATGTTTAATTTGTTCTATTCTTGTGTCAAGCACTGTGCTTTATGTCTGTCATCTCTCTTGATCGTTACAGCAATTCCATGGAATTTTAAAATTATTTTCATTGCAGATACTAAAACATGAACTTCAATTGAAAAAATGGAAAAATAGGTTAATACTCAAAAGAGCTACTGCAGAAGAATCCAATTTTCCTGAACAAAGTTCTTCTGAAGGCTCTCTTGTAGATGAGACTCTAAAATGTGACATTTCGCTGTTACCTGAAAGAGCGATATTGCAGGTTTGTATGAATACACTATACATTATATACTATAATCTGCCAGGTGTGGTGGCATGTGCCTGTAATCCCAGCTACTTGGGAGGCTGAGACAGGAGCATTGCTTGAACCCAGGAGGCAGAGGTTGCAGTGAGCTGAGATGGTGCCATTGCACTCCAGCCTGGGCAACAATAGCAAAACTCCATCTCCAAAAAAAAAA